GTTGCTGGAAAAGCTCAGCAGGTCTGGCAGCATCTGTGAGGTAAAAATCAGAGTTAACGTTTTGGCTCGGATGCTGCCAGACCTGCTGAGCTTTTCCAGCAACTTCTGTTTTTGTTCCTCTGTTATTTTGTGCCTCTTTATCTCCCCAAATCCATCTCCTTGCATTTGCCCCATATCCCTCAATACCTTTGGTTAACATTCTCTTAAATTTAAAATTAAGAAGTGACGCAATGTCATTTGCAGAAAGTATTCCAAGCTTCTAGCATACTTGGTGTAAAGCGCCTCCTAATTTCACTGTTGTAAAATCTGGCTCCAATTTTTAGACACTGGCCACCAGCCCTAGTTTCCTGAACAGTATAAATAGCATAGACAAAATAAATTATCAGTTCACCCTAAAATCTTGAAAGCTCAAATAAAATCACCTTTTAACCTTCTATCCAAGGAATATAACCCTAATCTCCCCTCATAATTTAAGCAATGAGTCCATGTCTCCTTTTGGTAAATCTTTTCAGAATAATACGTACTGCCCAAAGCCTAGTACCGAGAGTTTTGCACATTTCTCTAGGCGTGGACTCTGCTTGGTGAGAAACAACTTCTCCCACAATGTACCAGAGTCTTCTAGTTTAATGGAATGTTACTGCATTGGCCTTTTGGATAACTTGCTACACCGGTTCATGACATTTTAATAACTTACTTATCTGGATCCCTAACTCTCTTTGGAGTTGCATCATTTCTAGCTTTTCTGCATTTAGAAAGTACCATCTTCTATCCTTTATAGGTTCAAAGTGAATGATCTCATATTTACTTAACTATAAACCCATTTTACCATTCACTTAATCTAGTAGTATCTCTTGGTAATTTAATGATTCATTCTACACCTTTTGCAACGTTGTCTGCGTGTCATCAGCAAACATAGATAAGGCTTTCTCTGCCATCATTTAAGTCTTCAAAAAAAAAGTGAATAGTTGAGACTCCAAAATAGATTCTTGCAAGATACCACAGAATCATAGAAAGTGATTCACTGATTTACCCTCAATGGAAAAACACTGGGAATATCTTGAAGCGCAAGGTTCAATGTAGGCACTCATAACCAAATACTTGATTGTGCTATTCCTACTGACAAAGGAAACATTATTCAAATCTGACCCAATCAATGTAATTTTAATTCTGCACTTAGGGTGAAAAATTAATTTGTTTTCTTCATCAAATTATCATACTTCCTATTCTATTTCATTTACATTTACACCAATATAAAAGACGTACAAAAGCAACACCAAGAAGTTTAAAGGCTACTGGATATGATCCCTTTTTAATTAATGCAGAAATGAAGGTAGAGTGTAGCTTTCCTTTATGACTTTCAATAGAGAGTCAGTACGGAAATAACTGACTTTTGTGTCAAATATTCAGAATCCGGAAATTATATTCTAAAAAGCACTCAAAAGCAAAATACCCAGCCCCTCACCAGATGAGCAGTTGTGTTTTTTTTCACAAAGTAGTAAAAATGATGAAAGATATTTAAGTAACAATTTCCCTTTCAATAAACAAGATACAAAATTTAACCTCCCAAAGACATAACATTGAAATTACACCAGATTCAATAACCAACTGGTAACCAAATATTCAGAAACTGTAAGATATGCTGAGGTAAACTGAAACCAGAAGAAAGCAAGTAGATTAAGATTCCAAGCCATTCCGAGATGAATAGCACATCTTGCTTCGATTTGATTTTCGGCGTACTCAATGTTATTAGATTAAGTAATACTGGGTCACAATAATGGAGGGAATCAGTTTGCTAAACATCTCTTTTCCTAATTCAAGTTTATTGATGCTATATGTTAGTGTAGACAAAATCTAAAATTACACTTTAAAAAATTTACAGGCTGGAAATACTCATTACTCTTGGTATTCCTCCCATACCTAAATAGCACACAAAGCAAATCCCATCTGGATATATATATATGTTTCCTAATATATATAGATAGATAAATAATCCCCACGTTGGGTTACAGTAGTGGGTGCTAATGTAAAAGCCATTAAAGCTGCAGGTAACATTGACTGAAATCACTTCAGTGACTCAAAGAAGAATAAACTTACTTTACAGCTTAAAAGCTGCCCTTTATATCTGATCTATTAAACCTTTGGGTTTATACTTAAAAGCAAGAAAGTTTTGACTGCAATTCATGCGGGATACATTGTATGCTTTGAAAAATGGTGGGCAAATTACTGTTCTACAGCTTACTAATATCAAACTCTGCATGACATTTCTGTCCAAGGATATAAAATGTATAATACAGTACAAAAATTATTCACTGTAAATTCTTTATTTTTTCATAGCCCTTGTTTACTCCCTAAGGGTTTCTTTGTGGAACTTTTGAAAAAGAGTGCAGGGAGAACAAACAGTGAGCCTGTTACTGCGACATTTCTGCTCTTTTAATGCCAAATATGCTATATATAAAACTACTACTGTTGAGAACATCTAAAATAGGCTTCTTAAGACACTAGGAAAGCCATGTGCTAATGAGATTTGCATCACAGCAGAACAAATAAAGCTTTCCTAATGTCTTTATCTTGTAGTTGGGTCACTTCAGAGCCACAATGATGTCTTGTCACTGATGGGTACCAAGGTCAGAATTTTAAAACTGACAGTACAACTCCAAATGCAGTCGTTCAAATTGCCTCTAATGTACAAGAGGTTCATTGTCAATAAGATGCACTGACTATTTGGTGGGGCCAATGCAAAAGGCATGTGATTGTATGCCTGCACCACATTAAGTACAGGGGTGAAAAATCAGAGTCAGGTTAAAAATTGGAAACAAAGTAGCTCCATTTCCTTGTACAGCCAGCCAATACCCATAGGCAACACAAAGTGCAGACTATTCAGAACTAAATACAACCATAAAACAGCACAGGAATTCCAAATCTAAACAACATTCTTGGCACAGCAAGTTATCTATTTTCTTGTAAATTAAATTCTTCTTGGTCCAAACTTGCACCTTTCTGCAACATCGGTGTCTAAGGCATCAGGTAAGTAGTGTAGTGCAGTGCATGTCCATGGTTTGAGCAGTAAACAACACTGCAGCAACAATCTCATCGCTTTGATTCAAGAAATCGATTCCAATAATACTGGAAAGTTGGTGAGTTACAGGCACCAATAGCTATCAGCAGCAACAAATACAGCATCATCATCACTACAAAACTATGCTGAGAGATCCAGGATGGCTGCTTTGTGGGTCTGCAATATTAAAACAGAACATAATTATTACTACACTTTGCAATGAAAGTATCTAACTTCTCATCCTTTGTAAAAGAAAGGCTTTAAACTTTGAAAATACTTCAGAATGTGGCAATAAGTAATTCAAAAATATGAAATCTTCCGTTAGTGTGAAATATGCTGAAATCAGACACATACAGAATCTTTTGAGCATTTTAAAACAGCAATCGCACTCACTTAGAAATCACTACTATACATATGGAGAAAGGTCAGGAACTGGGAAATAAAAAACAATGAATTTCAGTGTCTAAAGGAATGAGAAATGTTTTTAAATCTTCAGGTGTCTGAAGACCATTTCTTTCGTTACAACCTACACACACAAGCTGAATCTCGATAGCAATAATTTGCTTAGGCAGGGGTACAGCATTCTAATGGGAAACCCAGCAGTACATCACCTGTTAGCAGGGTGGAGTTGACAAGTAGCTCGAGGGGCCAAAAAGCAGCATTTATCTTCTCTTGATGTCGTCCTTGCCTTTCTTCAGCTGTCAGGTTTCCAGAGGACTAAGTCAGAGGCTGATTAAAATTTTAAGAAAGGCAACCTGCCAATTAAGAGTAGACTGACTGACTGACTGCCTCTTGTCCTGAGTCCAATAACAGCAGAAGTGAACTAATTGGATACTAATTAGGATTGGGTTGAGATTCTTAAAGAATGAACAGCCATTCCTACCCCAAGTCATCTATTCTTGGGTGTTGGGGGAGGTGATAGCCTAGTGGTATTATCGCTGTACTGTTAATCCAGAGACCCAGATATCGTTCTGTGGACATGGGTTCAAATCCTGCCATGACAGATGGTAGAATTTGAATCCAATAAATATCTGGAATTAAGAGCCTAATGATGACTATGAATCCATTGCCAATTGTTAGAAAAACCCATCTGGTTCACAAATGCCCATTAGGGAAGGAAATTGCTGAGGAAGGGTCACTGGACCTGAAACGTTAAGTCTGTTTTTTCCTTCACAGATGCTGCCAGACCCGCTGAACGTTTCCAGCAACTTTGTTTCTGTGCCATCTTTACCTGGTCTGGCCTACATGTGACTCCAGACCCACAGCAATGTGGTTGGCTCTTAACTGCCCTCTGGGAAATTAGGGTTGGGCAATAAAATGCTGCCTGGCCAGCGGCGCCCTCATCCCGCGAATGAATTAAAAAACCCATCAATCACTCTTGCAACAATAGATTTGCTAGTGTAGTGCACCAAAGGTTGTGTACAGTATAATTCATACCATCTACTGTTCCCCCTTCTGTTGCCCAGTGTCCATTACCACACGACCTCCACATTTCCCCTCCCTAATTATCAAAGCATCAATGAAACTCCCACCCGGATCCCCCGGCAACTTGTCAAAGACTGACTACCCAAAATCCAGTTAGTTACGCACCCACAGGGCAATCACCCAATATTGATATAAATATTTTATGAAAACATCAATAAATAAACATATAAACTTCTCAAAGTCAGAATATACACCTATTGAGGCAAGTGTTTTGTATTATTGAGAAAGACAAAAGCGACAAATACTGCAACAAAATGGGATAATAAGAACTGCCAATGCTGGAGTCTGAGATAACACAGTGTGGAGCTGGAGGAACACAGCAGGCCAGGCAGCAGAGGAGCAGGAAAGCTGATGTTTCGGATTAGGACAATTCTTCAGAAATCTTCATTGTTCCTCCAGCTCCACACTGTTATCTGCAACAAAATGGAATGTTCCATCAAATGGGCACTCTACACCATGTAATGCATTTATTTTCACATCCTTAACATCAGCACCAAATGCAAACATTTGCAAAAATAAAACTCCAACATACTTGCTCATAAGTGTTACATGACAGAAGTACCAAACGTCTGATAACTCAATCACTAAACCAACGTTTGTACAAGTACCATCATTTTCTGATGAAGGGTCTAGGCCCGAAACGTCAGCCTTTCTGCTCCTATGAGCTGCTTGGCCTGCTGTGTTCATCCAGCTCTGCACCTTGTTGTCTTGGATTCTCCAGTATCTGCAGTTCCTACTATCTTTGTACAAGTACCAGTATTTTACACCCAAAAGTGCTAGTTAAGATCAAAGTAAACATTTCCACAAAATTTGAATGACGTAACTGAAGCCTAAATGAGGCAATCCCAAAACCCAAACTGGTCGTTGCCCCCTGCCATTCGAAAAAGAAAGCTTGTTGAATTCAGTGAGATTAAAAAGAGTTAGAAAGAGTTCAATGAGGTAGAATCATAGAACCATCTCCATTGTGGAAACAGACCACCGAGACCACACCAACCCTTCGAACAGCATACTGCCCAGACCTACCCCCCTACCCTATCCCTGTAACCCTGCATTTCTCATGGCTAATCCACCCAACCTGCACTTGCTCATAGAATCCAGGGATTTTACCATGGCCAATCTACTAAACCTGCAGATCTTTGGACTGTGGGCAGAAATCGGAGCACCAGAGGAAACCTACGCAGACACGGGGAGAATGTGCCAATTCCACAAAGACTGTCACCTGAGGCTGGATTCAAACGTGGGTCTCTGGTGCTGAGGCAACAGTGCTAACCACTAAGCCACCATGCTGTCCAAACAGATTGAAAGCTTTGTAAAGAGTCAGTAAAGAAAATAAATTTACCTCCTTCGGTGCAATTTCTCAGAATAAATGAGTAGATATTTTACTCTCAGGAGCTGGTTGTTTGTAACCACAAAGTACTTTTGCGGAACATCCCCACCTTCACTGTTTCGGACTCTTGCTCTTCGGCGATCTATGCCACCAGCATCTGGAATCAAGGAAGCAACACTCACTCACAAGCATTAAAAAAAAAGTCCAAAAAGTAAATTATCTACTGAATAAATCCATGAGATTCAGTAATACGATGTCAAACATCACCGAGCCCAAGAATTTCTAGTCGTTTTGTCACTAGACTTGAGGCTGATATTATTTCTATAGATGCAGCTGCGATAATGCACCAGATGTTGAAGATTACAATAAAATTAAGATTGTCAGGAAATCCCTTCCAAGGGGAAAATAGATTGATTTCTTTTGACATGTAGGTTTTGAAACAAATCAATCTGGTATCAGGAGTCAATCATTCAGTCCTTCGAGCTTTTCCACCACTGAATTAAATCACAGTTGATCTGCACCTCAACTCCATATAACCATCTTTATGCCATACCCTTACATAAAAGCATAAGGAGTACGAGTAGGAGTAGAAGTAGAAGTAGACCATTCAGCCCCTCATGCCTGTCTGCTATTCTATAAAATCACGGCTGAAGTGCGTCAGGTCTCAACTCCTCTGTTGTGTCAGTTCAGCACAGCCCTCAACTCCCCTATATTTCAAAAATTTATCTAGCTCCTCTTTAAATACTTTCAGGGATCTAGTGTCCACAGCCTCTCTGGAGTAGGAAATTTTAGACATTCACTGCCCTCTAGAAGAAGTCCCTTTGCCTCTCAGTTTTAAATTTGTGTCCACTTACTCTGTAAGAGCGAGAGGGCTTGATCAGATGGGGAGGGCTGAGAGGGATGTTGCACAGTGTTATGGTTTTGCGGCGGTGGGGGGTGGGGGGGTGGTGGTGGTGTGCAGCGAGATGAGGTGCTGAACACACTTGGGGTCAAGGGAGGTTGACATTGTTGAGGAGAAGAAAATGCTTCAATAATGTCAGAGGCAATGGTTACTGCCCAGATGTGGGGGGGCCAGTGGTAGGAGTGAACATTATCAGACTGAAGGGTGGGAAAAATGTTATGCAGTGTAGGGACTGACTGGCCCATTTAAAAGCAAAGAAATTTTTTAAAAAACCTGAAGAGACGTATCTTCAGTTCATACAGAACGGGGAAACAGTTTTGTTGCACATACGTGTGCCGCATGGCCTTTCAACTCTGTTCACGCTGGAATCATTCTTAAACCAGAAGTTGTAAAGTCGGTAGTTTAAATCTCAGTCAGCGGTGGATACTCCTCCATCATCACTGATTATCTGGGCCTATGGATTGGTTCCAGAATTACTAATTGACCTGATTTGAACAGGTCTTTGAAGGAGCTCCAGATTCATCTCATTTTCTACAATGCAGTATTTCCTGACATCGTCTAGCTGTAATCTGAGCTCAAATGTTATGATCCTTTGCTGGGGACTCCTCAAATAGAGGAAAGACTTTCAAATATCTGATAAAATATCTGATATCTGATACTTTAATTATCTTAAAGTATTTTAATTAGTGTACTGCTTAATCTCCTGCACTCAATTACTAATACCTGGATGAAAGCAAGCATAAATACAAAACAGGTATTTCTGCACAGGTTTAACAGTCATGACTCAAATCATCTACAAAATATTTGTTTCAGAGACAGTAGGAACTGCAGATGCTGGAGAATCTGAGATAACAAGGTGTAGAGCTGGATGAACACAGCAGGCCAAGCAGCATCACAGGTGCAGGAAAGCTGAC